TGTAAGGGCTTATGGTGTGTGTTCGTTAGGAAGTACATTGCTTGTTTTGTGGTTTAGATGGAAGAATGGCTGAATGTGGTAAGATCAATTTGAAGTTTCTGTATGATTTGGAATGAAGGGTGAAAAGTGTATTAATTGACTGGTGTGTAAATGAAGGTTTACTGGCTAATCTTTAGAATATGGTAACAGGTAGTTTGGCGACATTTTGGTAAGGCGATAAAGGTTACTAGCTAGGACTTTAGCAATAATTTCAGAAGTACACAGTTCGAATCACAGATTATTTTTTCTCAGAGAAATGAGAGATCATGAGACATGTCGTGTGACATTTTCCGGAAAATTCCGATCGTGATTTTAGCTAATAAGCACTTAGAAACAATTTCGCTGCTAAAGTGCAGAATCGCCCACTTATTTGTTTGGAGCTTTATACAAAAAGTAAGAAGAATTGGATTTTTGTCAATTTTCTTTTACCTTTTTAAGTGAAAATAGGTTAATGTGTACATAGATAAAGTCAAGAGTGTGCGCAATGCCATTTTTGTGCAATTCTGGGATTTTTTTTAAAGTGAAAATAGGTCGACGTGTACATGGATAACGTGTATGTGCGATTCTTAAAAACGCGGCAAGGAGTTTGCGATTCTACACTTTCTCCTAATTTCGCACCTAACCTTGGTCATGATTAAGTATTTTTGTTACATAAAAGTTTTAGTATCTAGTACAAGCGTAATTCGGCTAGCAGATTGTTGAAAAAAAATGTTGAAGAAGGAAAAAAAAAAAAAAGTGCCTTTACTTCACGAACACAAAATGGCGTCCAAACAAAAACTAGCAGGTTGCTGTAGGGTTGGTCGCCAAATTTTCGCCAAAAAATCGTGAAGTTACCATAATCCAAAGATTAACCGGTTTACTTAGTAGCCATTATAATGTCCTGTTTGTAGAAAGGAATTGTGTATGGTTGAACATCGGAGGATACCGGCACTACAGACGAGACTTTTTACTCTTATTTTTGTGAATTTATATGGCAATACCGACATACAGATTCTACTTCAGATAATTTTTGGAAGTCTTTGGATATTGTTAAGGAATTTTGTGTGCCACAGACTGAAAAACTCAGAAATTTCTAAATAAGGTAAGTGGATATTTGCTTTGCATAGTGGGCAGTTTTCGGATAACCGGCTCTTGGCGACCTCGCTACGGCGCCGGTGGTGGCGATTTCCGCCAAACCCGGCTACCGACCCCGACAACTTTCTGCTGACGTTTAGGTTACTGGAGAATCCGGTGTATCGGGAGGGATTTAGGGAAAACTTCTGTGTGCTCATATTGAAGGTCACATGACCATTTTTCTTCCCTTCTGCTGCGTGGTTAGAAGTTGTTAGAAGTTGAGAAGTTTGTCTCCTACTTGATCGGAGCGTAGAAATAAATAATAGTGTTAAAATTAAAATAAATAATGTTAATGGGAATTAAAAACGATTAATAAATAAATAATAATGTTAAATGGGAATTAAAACCGATAATTATAAATAAATAATGAATGTTAAATGGGAATTAAAACCGATAATTATAAATAATAATAATGTTAAATGGGAATTTAAACCGTAATTATAACATAAATAATAATGATGGGATTAAACCGAAATTATAAATAAATAATAATGTTAAATGGGAATTAAAACCGATAATTATAAATAAATAATAATGTGGTTGATCTTTACAATATGGTAACTGGTAGTTTGGCGACATTTTGGAGGCGATAAAGGTTACTACCTGGGACTTTGGTAATAATGTGAGCAGTACTCAGTTCCGATTACGCATTGTTTTGTGTGAGGGAAATGAGAGATCATGGGACATGTCATGTGATATTAATGGACGAATTACGGTTCTTTAATCGGAAAAGGGGGGAAATCGGGAAAAAATCTGGAAGTTTTGTATTTGGCTTTATTCTGTGTTGTGTGAAAACAGTGTTCGTGAATTTTTTGGATCCCATGGCCGTAACTAAAGTGAATTCGAAATGGGTATTTATGTATGTATTAATTTAATGTATGTGCTCATTTATATTTTAAGTAGTGTTTTTGAATTTAATTATATTTTAATTAAATGATAGTTATTTTGTGAATTTTATGTTTGTAGGAATTTGGTATACGTTTTAGTTGAAGTAAACGTGCATGGAAATAATTTAAATTTTTGATACTAAGTATTTGTAATGCTTGTGGTATGAATTCGTTGGTGACGTGTATAATGTAATAGATGATTTAGAGGTTTTTGGATATTTTATTTATTTTATATGTGGAAATGTTCATATTTGGAAAGGGTAAATACTTTTTCGCGATCAGGTAATTTCATATATGTTCTTTTTACCGGGTTTAAAGATTGAGAAAATTGTCATGTATTTTCGTGAAATTTTTCTAATTTATGAGAAAAAAGCAGTGTACATGGATATAGTGAAGAGTGTGCGCAATGCCATTTTTGTGCAATTCTGGGATGTTTTTTAAGTAAAAATAAGTCGACGTGTACATGGTTTAGTGATATTTTAATTAAATGATAGTTATTTTGTGAATTTTATGTTTGTAGGAATTTGGTACACGTTTAAGTTGAAGTAAACGTGCATGGAAATAATTTAAATTTTTGATACTAAGTATTTGTAATGCTTGCGGTATGAATTCGTCGGTGACGTGTATAATGTAATAGATGATTTAGAGGTTTTTTGGATATTTTATTTATTTTATATGTGGAAATGTTCATATTTTGGAAAGGGTAAAATACTTTTTCGCGATCAGGTAATTTCATATATGTTCTTTTTACCGGGTTTAAAGATTGAGAAAATTGTCATGTATTTTCGTGAAATTTTTCTAATTTATGAGAAAAAGCAGTGTACATGGATATAGTGAAGAGTGTGAGCAATGCCATTTTTGTGCAATTCTGGGATGTTTTTTTAAGTAAAAAATAAGTCGGCGTGTACATGGTTTATGTGTATGTGTTATTTTGAAAAACGCGTAAGGAGTATGGTATTGTGCACTTTTTCCCAATTTTGCAGTGAATATTTGTCATGATTAAGCAGTTTTGTTAGATAAAATTTCTAGCATAAGTGTAATTCGGCTAGTAGATTGTTTGGAAGAAGTGTGTTCAGTAGATAAAAAGAAAAGAAACATGTCTTTACTTCGTGAAGACAAAATGGCGGCGGGGAAAAAAAAAATAGAGGGTTGCTGTAGGAGAGTTGGTCGCCAAATTTTCGCCAAAAAAGCGCTAAGTTACCATAATGTAAAGATCAACCAATAATGTTAAATGGGAATTAAAACCGATAATTATAAATAAATAATAATGTTAAATGCGAATTAAAACCGATAATTATAAATAAATAATAATGGTAAATGCGAATTAAAACCGATAAGCATAAGTACTTCCTCGCCCTATAGCGTTTCATGCAAAACATTTCACTCGTTAAAGTACACGTTAATTAAAATTTCTTGTTCTATTACTTTAGACTGAATTACAATTAGTAAGTTATCATATCATGCTTAGTAATATAACATTAACTATGTTGTACAACATTGAAGAAATAGGGAATGTCAGGCGTCATCATGTCAACATGAACAAGGGTAAGTTCAATTTTTCCTTTTGGCAGTTCAGAATTGTTTTCCCTGTCCACTTCCCTCGGATAGGGAAAACAATATTTGGCCGCCATCTTGGATTTCGAAATGCGCTTTTTGGCGCATTTCTGAAATCCAAGATGGCGGCCAAAAACTCGCCAAGAGCCGGGTATCCGAAATGAGCCGCGTAGTGCTTAGATGCATATGATGAATTTTCTTTTTTATGTTATTGTTTGATTTCAAATGCAGTTTATTGAGATTATGTATTTTTTGTTTGGCTCTACTGTAAAATTGGGAGCTCCTTTGAATTTTTAAGTGAAAAATTGATCAATGTGTACATGGACAAAATGTAGGGAGTGCACAATGCCGTGTTTGTGCAATTCTCTGAAGTTTTTTTAAGCGAAAATAGGTCAATGTGTCCATGGATAAAGTTAAGAGAGTGCATAATGCCAAGTTTGTGCAATTCTCTGATGTTTTTTAAGCGAAAATAGGTCGGTGTGTACATGGATACCGCGTTTGTGCAATCTTGTTATTTTGTCTTTTGTAGCTACACAAAGACAAAATAACAAGTCAAAGAATTGTACAAAGTCAGTATCCATATACTGCCAAAAATATTAATGAGAGTTTTGCTCTTCTCATTTAATTAATGTGGCAATTTTATATTAATAATATTTTACAGACACATGCATAACACATACTTGATAATGCGACACTGTCTACTCACAGTCATTCTTCAAAGAAACCAAAATTGCCTAGAACCATAGTGGGTTTGCTGTATTTAATTCTACATTAAGTACACGTTTTATACCTAAATTTTATATCACGTTTTATACATTAAGTAAACGTTTATACCTAAGTTCTAAAATGCAGTAACAGAATCCATAATTTATTTCCTAAAAGAGTATGTCATACACACATGAAAAGCGCGAGATGCCTATGGGGGTAAGAAGATCAATTTCTTTCCTTATTTCAAATGATTAGGTTAATGATATTATGTACAGTACTATCCCACGGTGTTTAGCACACAGAAATATTAAGCAAGGCATAATCAAAAAAGACTTATCACACACATAGTTCCAAACAAGTACACATATTCTACAAGAAATTTAGAACTCTGAAATTTATGGCGCAGGTTATATTCAATGGCTTAATCCTAGTATCCGGTGCACACGGGATTTGGCTACTTTTATGATGAGCAGTAAAAACGGGACATATACGATGAGTAGTTAACGGGTTAACGGGTCATTCAAAGAATATATATAGTTATACATATTATATACTATGTATATAGTGATAGTATATAATGTATAGTATATACATAGACGTTTCTTTGGGTCATTTTTGGTGTTGGCGATAATTTTCAAAATCGCGCTAAGGCTGCACCGTATACTAGGATTTTACCTATTCAATAAATATATTTATTACCTTCTGTTGTTTGGGTTTGATTTTAGCAGATAAACATTCATCTTGAACTTCAATAGAAGAACTTTTCGTAGGGTAATGGAATAAATAAAGATTCCCAGCCAGAGTTTTCGATAAATACACATCTGTCTACATAGAGGGAAAAAATTTCTTTTTTTAGTAATACGTAAGAGTAAAACCTATTCATATTATCAGTAGTAAAATAATTTCTCACTGACAGACATAATACTTAATAACTGCCAAAATTAATCACTTCTCATTTAAACTAATTTTTACTAACTTCAAACACGACTTCGTCTACTTCAGCAGCTGAAGTAATGCCCTCACTTGCTTCCATGTGCAAAAGATTATTTTTAGAAAGTAATCTTCGTGTTATGAAATGTATAAGACGAATACAGTTTTAGTAAACAACAACTCACATGGCAATCGTCAGTAAAGCGTATTCACGTAACTGTTGCCATATTCACTTTAAAATTCCCTACTTAAAGAGCTTTTGCTATGAATACTAATAATCAGCTGTCCACTACTTTTTATTTCCAATTTTCTCCCACAAAACGCTACAATTTCACTCAAATTCTAGATCCTCAGTTGGTGGCTGTAATTTCTTTCATTTTATCTGATGAAGACAGTGCTGTACTCTAAGTTGTTTGGATTAGATAGTGTGATGTTTAATGATTTTCTGTTGTATGGGTTGAATTTGTGTAGTTATGTAGTAGTATTGAACTTTTGTTATTGTTATATAGTATTTTGAACCATGTTTTGCATTTGTCGTTTCTCTGTATTGTCAAGGATCCATTCGGATTTTCTTCATCTTGTCAGGTTCCGTCAAGGCCAACTGTTCCGTTCACCTGCCAGATGCCTTCGGCCTTTATCCCTCTCACTTTTCCATTCTCCGTTTTCTCTTCCGAGATGTTTTCCATTTCCAGAATTCATTATGTCATGTGCCCTTTGGCTTTATTTAAGTAACAGGCAACGTTGCACCTGCAATAGCTCTGTAATATAGATCTGCGCAGGGGCTAATCGCACCGACAGTAATAGTTCTTTCAAGAAAGAGAAATAGTTCTTCAATCCCCGCCCAGGATATGATAATTACTCTTTATTAACTAGCTATGCCGATGATACGGAATTACCGCGAAGTCAATAAACGTAAACCTCAAACTTTAAAAGCTGACTCAAGATAGTAAAGAATGGTGCAAACATGGACAGTAAAGTTCCATGCTAGCAAATGAGTACAACTACTCATCATCAGGAAGACGAGAAAATCCAAGCCAATTCATAGAAATTTGATTTTATTCAATGAAATTGTACATTTATTATATAACGCCGAATACTTACCTTGTATAAAAATCTTACCTGGGCAATTATATTGACAGTATTAGAAGTAAAGCTTTGTGAATAATAAATGAATTTCTCCCAGTAATAGGCAGGTTTTCGATATTCTTCCTGAAAACAAAAAAGCACATTTACATAGCTTGCATCGGGGTGATTCTTTGCTATGCTTCGCAAGCTTAAAACACGGCGACAAACAGTAAATACATAAATTACAAGTTGCGAAAAATAATTTTTAAGAATTAAGACTGACACCCATTATTTGATCCAGGAACTCCTTATTATATAAAGATCTTAGGACTGACGATACTTAAAACTCATTTGCACGAAATGAATGTAAACTTTTTAATAAAAGCAACCACCTGCGACTTTGTTAATTACGCTCAAACTACGAGATATTGCAAGAGGTCTATATACATTACATGAGGCTACTTGCGGCTCACTTACAACACATCAGGCCACTTGTGGCTCACTTAATCACAAATCGTGATAGTAATCGTTTTACTTAAGATATTTCTACACGGGAGTCTGTAAATATGTAATTAGTGTATGTAATTTTGATTTCTGATTTATCTTCATGTCATTTCAGCATTTATTTTGTTTTATTCATATTTTTTCTTATCTTCATTTCATTGTAATGAAATGAAGTTTGGAAAAATGTTGTTTCTCTGTTTGGAAAATGTACTTTCTCCGTAACTTTTTCACTAGACCATTCAGAATTATGTTCATGTATCATGTGACTTTTTAGTCTTCTGAAAGTTTGTCTTTCACCCTGGGGCCACCCCTTGCCTTCTTTCCTCTGATTTTTCTTAAGTGAGATAGCCATGACCACGATTCTCCATAGTCATATGCCATTACGGCATACGTTCACGGGGCCGGCCAAATAGCCCCTTTGTACGGTAATTCGGACACAATCAGCTCAAGTCCAAAAATGTCCTTTAAAATAGCAATGGAATTTAGCTAATTGAGAAAATATCAAGAATTATACAGCTAGGTAGTTTAACAGCATATTAAATAGGAAAATTTTGTTTATGAAAACAAAAGTTTGTTATGAACGTTCATAACATTTCTGGAAATTATTTGACTGACGCTATACCCCTAATCTTAATATTCAGAAAACATCCCTCATAACGAGAGAATATGTCAATATAAAGTTTTAAATTAAGCAGAAAAGCAACTTTAGTTTTTCTCAAATATTCTCAGAGAATGTTTTTAGTGCTTATGTATTATTCCACCGATCGTAAAAGATGGCTACCATCGTACTATGAAAGTTGCTGAAGAACCACCAAAACTGTGCCAATCGTTCCTACGGTATTTTGAAGAAACTGGCGCCTCTTTATTTTACGACAATCAGGCTTCGATTCGCTTTATTTTGGGGCTTCCTAAAAAGAGCTTCCACTTATTTGTAATATTTATAAAGCCCTCCGTTTTTGCCGAAAATTTTGTTTGGAAAACTATGAGTGCAACCGAAGGTAACCGAAGATAATTGTTCCAATATATGCTGTTTTGTCGGGCATATTCAACTGGCTATATCGTGTCCATTAATACACACTTTTTTGCGATAGAATCACATAACTGTGAAAATAATCCCCTGTTTGCAGTTCTGTAAAAAGCAAACCCCAAATTTTAATAATTTCTTTCAGAACGCAAGAGAAAGTACAGCAATAACATCATTACTATAAAATTAATGCATTAAAAGAAAGCATAGATGTTATAAGTGTGTTGTTACTTCACTCTTATTATTAACTGGAGCGAGATTGCGATGCCTGAAGAAAATTTCCCGATCGACGGCATAATACATAAGTACCTTGTTTTAAAAGGAAAAAAATTCTTCAGATTTTTTATTCCTTCTAAAGAAAAATTTGCATCTGATCGCCCTCAGAGTCGATAGAGTTATTCAAAATTTATGTCTAAGGTTACTTTTGTGTCTAATTGTTGTTTTTGTGTTGATTGAAATCGAAACCAACCTGTTTACTGATTTAATCTTTCATTTGGCAGCATTTCTGTGCAATTTAGCATTGTTTGAAATCGATTGATAGTTGGAGGCGGTGGATTGGTGTAGGCATCGAAGTGCTCAAATCTGATGACCAAACTTCCGTCGAAGCTGATATTCAGTTACGGAATGTGGATGATCAAAGTTGAATTTGTGGTTGGTACACTAGTCCACTTTGTGAACCAACCACATCAGCGTGAGTCACCAGAAAATTTGCAGGTTACTGGTGAGAGACAGCATTCGTAAGCACTGGTATGATTCTATACAATTTTAGTTTAAACGTCATCATATGGTTCTAATAACGATTCTTTTGTATTATGATGCCAAAATTGACACCTATTCTCACTTTTTTTCACAAATTTTGGCCTTTTTCTCTGTTAATATGTAAGTACCTTTTATTCTTATTACATAGATTTGTATTGAAATTGTGCGTCAGATGGACGTAATAGTGTACAATTTTGAATTTCTCGTAGATTCGTATATATCTTGGACTATTAGAAATTTGCCGTAAAATACAGTCAGTTTTTTGCAGGGCTTTTCTGTAGTCCGACAGAAATAAGATTAAACAGACAGATAAGTTCAAACCCCAGAAGTAATACCCAAAATTTTTGTTCAGGCACATTGATGATGCCAATCAAATAAAACTGTGATTGAAAAGTATTTGTTTTTTATAATTACGCCCAGTGTTTCAGGCATCCTTCGGAGGTAAAAATATTTAACGTCTATGAAAAATTCAGATATTCTTATATACTGTTGTTAAAGTGTTTTTAGCTAAGACTTTCTAAAATGGTGTTTTGTTGTATGTTATGCTTATGCTATTTTACATTAAGATATCAAGTGTTTATCATCCACTGCTTTGGCAAGCGTTGTAGTTCCAATAATATTGCACCTCTTTCGCACGGTAACTGAAATCTCACAGGCCTTTAGTAACCAAGGACCTTAAAGCTCATCAGTCTCCTTATTAGTCATAGCTAGCGGTATCCTACAGTTTCATTTAATTTTAACAATTTACCTAAATTTTCTTTTCCATTGACGTCCAGTGATCTTTAGTTTTCATATCATCACTAAAGAATAACATTGAAGGACACTGCTATGTTTCAACTTCATTCTACTTGAAAATCTAAATTCACTTAATTGCTCATAGCGATGACCTATTGGTTACTGGTGTGGCGTAGAGACCATCAACGTGTGTAAGTCACCAGAAAATGATATACAATTTCCAGGTCAACGGTGACCGACAGCATTCGTAAGCACTGGTACGCTTCTATTCAATTTTAGTTTTAAAATGCATCTAAAATTGCTGATTCACCAAGCGGATGTTGCTTGCGAGTTGACTGTTAGTGACCATCAACAGGTAAGGCAAACCAACTTGATGGACATCCATGTTCTAAGATTTAATTTTAATATTTAAAAGCGTCTAAATTTACTTCAGTGAATCGCAATTGGGACATAACTTGAGGACTCTTAAACTTTAGGTCACCTGTGGCCAGTAGTTTTAGCTGGAACTGGCGACCACGAACAACTTGAACAGCAGTAGTTTGTGCGTTTAACTATTTTGATGGATATCAGTGCGCTTCTATTTAATCTTAGTTTAAAAAAATCTATCTAAATTAGCTGCACTGTCTCATGCCGGTGATCGGACTAATGACTGACCAACCGTGACCGTTCATCTGTAAGGTCACCGGAGATCAGTCCATAAATGAATAGTGATCACATGCTTTGACGGGTTCTTGTATCTTTCAGCTTTACTTTACAAATTTATATATTGCACTTCGTCATGTATTTTCCTCCCTAGCTTTTTAGAGCTAGGTTCTGAAAATTTTAAAAATATTCACATAATTCCCTCCTTCCTCTACTAGTTCTTCTCTATGAGGCCTAGTTTATTGGTAAATTGTATTCTCTTAATTATTTTTATTTTCATTTAATGTACTCAATTTGTATTTGCATTTTGGTATTAGCATTTCAACCATTTTAGTATTTTTTTTTAAACATATTTTATGCAGCTATGCAGATTCTTGGTTAAAGTACATGGACGTGGCAGGTGTCTCACGCTTAATAAACTTTCCAAGCATCTGATTTCACCTTACTTCTATTATTTATATTCCAGCTCATTGT